AAAAAAGAAAAAAGAAAAAAGTTTTCTCCTCTTGCATGCGCGTAGTCGATTTAAAAGGAAAGCTCTTCCTCTTAGTTTGGCTGGCTGCGCGTAGCCACGGTTACTTTCTCCCCGTGTTCGTCGAACATGGAGGAAAAGCAGCAAACCGATGAGCAGAGCTAACGAGCAACATCCTCTCTTGTCCCGATTGTAGATGCCACAACGGTTGGAAAGGAGCGTACTGCGACCAGTGCGTGAGATATCCAGGCTGCCTTCACGGTAGCTGTCAGAAGCCCTGGGAGTGCCTCTGCGACGAAGGCTGGGGCGGTCTGTTCTGCAACCAGGACCTCAACTATTGCACGAATCACAAGCCCTGCTTGAACGGCGGCACCTGCTTTAACACCTTTAACGGCCAGGGTTTGTACACCTGCTCGTGTGCGCCAGGCTTCAACGGCACTAACTGCGAGAAGCCGCTTTTGGACTGTGACTCGAATCCCTGTCTCAACGGTGGATCGTGCACCATGGACCCGCCCTATGGCAATTCTAGCCTGAGCAAAAGCTCCGTGGATTCCTCGTCCTCGTCGTCGTCTTCGTCGTCGTCGTTGTCCACCAAGCAACATTATCGTTGCACCTGTCCACCCGGTTGGCGCGGCCGACACTGCGAGATCAGCTCGAGATCCTGTCGAGATTCTCCCTGCCATCACGGAGCCAGCTGCGAGGACGACTCTCTTCACGGTTACGTGTGCCGCTGTTTGCCCGGTTACGCGGGCAACGACTGCGAATCCCAGCTGGACCAGTGTTCGCCGAATCCATGCTCGAACGGCGGCACCTGTACGGATCTCGGTAACAGCTTCCGGTGCTCTTGCCCGGCCGGTTTCACCGGCGAGCGCTGCGAGACGAACATTGACGACTGCCAAGGCGATCCCTGCCTGAACGGTGGGACCTGCGTGGATCTAGTCAATCAGTTCCGTTGCCAGTGCGTGCCGGGATACGTTGGTCGATTATGCCAGGACAAAGTGGATTATTGCCTGACGAAACCGTGCGCGAACGGTGGCCGGTGCATATCGGGAACGAACGATTATCGGTGCGCTTGTAAGCCTGGCTTCACCGGCAAGGACTGTAGCGTGGACGTGGACGAGTGTAGAAGCGCGCCTTGTAGGAACGGTGGCACGTGTCTGAACCGAGTGAACGGGTTCCTCTGCCAATGCCCGGACGGTTGGCACGGAGACACTTGCTCGGAAGAAGTAGGAAGTGGAACGGCCATCCTGCCCGTGCCTTCAAACACCGCAGCTGCCGTCCCCGCTGCTGCTGTACCACCATCTGGAGCTAGTTACTGGCCGGGCAATCTGTCCAGGCATGTCGCGTCCGCGTCCGCCGAGCCGAGAGACGCCGGTTTAACCACCGAGCACGTAGTGGTGATAGCAACCCTATCGACGGCTGTGCCGGCGTTCGTTCTAGTAGCCGCAGTGGCGGTGATGTGCATGAAGAGGCGGCAGAAGAGGGAACAGGCGAAGGCTGACGAAGAGGCCAGGCTGCAGAACGAACGTAACGCCGTTCACAGTAGCATGAGCAAAAGAAGTGGCGGCGTTATGGGCGGAGTGGGTGGCGGAGCTGGTGTCGGCTCCACCGGAAGCACCGGGGTCGTCGGTATCGTTGGTAACGTTGGACTGCTAGGAGGCGGTGGCAGCGGGATGATCAGCGGCGGCGGTGGCGGCAGCGTGTGCACCCTGGGCACCGGGGATGCTCACATGATCAAGAACACATGGACGGCGAACAAGAGCGTGAACAACGCCGCGTCTGCCAGACAGGACGACCTCGACTCGTCGTTTCAAACGGACGTCACGCTGGATAGCTCTTGCTCGGGTTACAAGCCAGAACCGGTGCTGCAGGACGGCCGAACGCGGACAACGAAACAACTGAACACGGAGGCGGCCGCTCACAGGGCCTCCCACCTCTTCCAAAAGGAGAAGGACTGTCTGGGTCTTGGTCTCGGCATAGGCGTCGGTGTCGGCGTGATCGAGAGTGCCAAGAGGTCGTCCGTGTTCGCCGGTAACGCGACGACGGACAGCTGTTGCGCGGCCGAGGCGGCGTTGCTCAAGAGGCCGACGACCATCACGGAAGGGGGCAGCGGTCCACCGGGTAGCGGCGGTGGCGGTGGCGGTGGCGGCGGCGGCGGCGGTACCGAGACCGGCTGTGGAGTGTACGTTATAGACGATCACTATAGGCACGACACGTCGTTGGCGGCGACGCTCGCGACAGAAGTGTAGTTTCTCTTTCTCCTTAACCAAGTGTCCAACACCGTTGTTCGAATAGTAGTATATAGAGGAAAACGAGCCACGATCGAGAGCGAGATT